CAACAAAATCTGTTTATTTCTATTGTTCTTTGGAACAAACGAGTTATCTTGAGTCGCACATTTTCAGCAGTAAGCATTTATGTTGGTGAGCAGACCCCCTTTCTTTGTTTGTATGTAGCAAGGGGAAGTGGCAGGAATGAAAAGCTAATTTTGCTCTTCAGTGAAGCAGGGAGGATCAGGGACAGTGCAGTGCTAAGCTGCTTCCCTGCTTCCTGTTTGGCAGGCCTGCTGCAGGGAGAATGGTGTAAAACAGCTCTCAGGGCAGCGTTCAGCAGTTTTTCCTGAGCAAATGGATTCCGTGTTTTAACCAGTTGTTTCCGGGCTGATAAGGTGGCGGAATAATAGGCAAAAAATCCAAGGGCCGCCCAGTCTTATGTTGCTGGAGTGTTTTCTCTGTTTTGACTGGAGTCTTTTGTATTGCCTCCAGGTGTTGCATCAGCCATGAGAAAAGGCAAAGTTTGGAGGTGGCATTAAAAAAGCTAATGCTTATAGGCCAAGCTACTTTTGAAATGGAAAATTAGGGAGAAAATTGGACATGAAATAAGTTTCTAGATTTCATTTCTAATGAATTTACTAGGAAAACCGGTCCAGATTTGTAAAGAGTCTTGACATCCCTCTTGTAAGGTTTTCAAGGCTACCAGAAGTGTTTCTCATGTCTCTCTATGTCAGTGTGTAGCACTCTTACCAGGACTTTCCGAAACCTGTAATGCATAGGATCAAATTACTTTTTTAATTTAAAAAGGGAAAATGCTTAGTTTTCAGATATTTGAGTCCATAATCTTCATTCATCAACTCAAATAAAACAAAATACTGAATTTGTATACAGCAATTAATGGTATTTCACAGCCTTTGAACAGAAGAGTGATTATACTGCTATGCTTGGAATAAACTGTCATGTTTATACAATCTTAGAATGATTTAAGTTGGAAGGGAGCTTAAAGATTATCTAGCTGCAAACTCCTGTTGTGGCTGGGACACCCTCTCTAAAACTAGGTTTCTCAAAGCCCCGTCCATACTATCTTTGAACATGTTGGGTGGGGCTCAGTTTCTCTGGGAAACCTATGCCAGTTTCACCACCCTTGCAGTAAGGGTTTGCTTACTAATATCTAATTTAAATCCATTCTCTTTCAGTTCAAAGCCATCGCCCCTTATCATATCACTATGTGCCTGTGTGAAAAGTCCCTTTCCAGCTCTCCTTTAGGTCCCTTTTACTGAAAGGCCCTAGAAAGATCTCCAGTATGTATACATGATTATAGGTACACTTGCAATGTGGTATCCCATAATGTGACAAAGCTGAATGGAGCTCTGAACAGTCTGGTCTAGTGAAAGGTCTCCCTGCCCATGACAAAGATGGCCTTTAAGGTCCCTTCCACCCCAAACCATTCTGTGATCCTCTGATCCCTGGTGCCTTGCCTTCTTTAGACTAAACGACCCCAGCTGTCTCAGCCTCTTCGTGGAGGAGGTGCTCCACCCCTCTGACCATCTTCATGGCCCTTCTCTGAACGTCCTTCAAAAGAGTTTGTGCCCTTCTTGGGGGCCCCAGAGCTGGATCCAGTACTCCCGGTGGGGTCTCACTGAAAATGGAGCAGAGGGGGAAAATCACTTGCCTTGACCTTTTGGCCATGACTGTTTTGATCCAGCCCAGGATGCAGTTGGCCTTCTGGGCTACAAGTTCATGTGGCTGGGTCGTTTTGACCTTCTCATCCAGCAACACCCTCAAGTCCTTCTCCTCAGGTCTGCTGTCATTGCATTCTGACCAGTCTGTATTTGTGCATATTTTTTTCTTCTGTGTATGAATCAATATTTCTTTTTGACAATGGTATGTCACTATTGGCTTTACTGCCTCTTTCTATTTACTAAAAATGGTATATTCCGTGTCAGAAGACACTAAAAGTTATGGTCATTAAAGTTGGTATCACTTTGACTATTGCTTGTAATGGAGGCACAATTAAACTGACAGTATTTCAATTTATAATTCTTTGTAACTTACTCTCTTCATGTCAATAATTGTAATTCAGTTGTATGTCCAACTGGCATTTTCTTGATACGCTGCCTGGCTTTTTTGTGGAATGACATTTTTGGTATTTTGTCTAGAGATACAGCAGGGTATTTTAGATCAGTTGTTGAGTTTTTCTCTGCTGTTGTCATTGACAGTTCTGATTCAGTTGTTTCAAGGTTCTAGTTTCTGCGTATGAACTGAAGGAATAGGAATCTACAAGCTTTTTTTGGCTGTGAGTAGATTGCAATACTGAGGTACTTAAAGCCTCCCAGAGAGCCTGTAGCTAAGCTCCTGTTATGAATTATAGAAATTATTTTGCGATCTACTGAGGTATTACAAATGTTTTCATTTCTAAAGCTCAGGTTATCGGTCTTGCTATAAGTCAGGTAGTTCTTTAGAAAAGACTCTCCTATGCAGCATTTTAAAAACCAGTCAAGTCTCTATTATCTGGCAGTAGCATTTCTAGCAGAAAACTTCTGACTGGTTTGGCTGGCTGTTCCACAGGTGTGCATGTGCCAGTTCCTCAAGATATTTTTAGCATTTAGCATGTCTGAAAGCTGAGAACCTGGAAAAAAATACTTTGCAGTGGTGGGATCATGGATCAGGTAGGCCTTTCAGATGGCTCTGTGCAGCTGCTCTTATGCCAAGTGTTCCATAAGAAAGAGAGGGTTGATTTTTTCTTTTTTTTAAGATTATATTTCAGTAAAACCCAGAAAGTTAGTTAATGTATTTTTCTTCTTAACAGAGAAAGCTCAAAGCCAGTGGAAACAAATCAGTAATGGTCCCCAGCCCTCTGTGATTTTAGGGGCAGGTCTTTGCATGCACACCTAGATTCAGTTGTCTCAGGGACTTACCTTGTTGCAGCATATTTCCCTGGGAAACATTTCCATCATTTCTGAGACCTGGTTGTCTGCTCCCTATTCTCGTCTACGGTGTTGTAACGTCCCTGCCTCAGCTGCAGGTTTCTAGGTTCTCAAACCCTGTGGTCTTTCACTCTCGAATAGGCTCGGTAGCTCTTCAGGAGATGGAGCAGTCTCTGCCTTTTTACAAGAGCCTCAGCATTGTTACTTTTTTTCAGAGATTGTAACAGAAATGAAGAATGTGCAATTTGTCGTATTTCTTAATAGAGATAAATGCTTGTTCTTTTTTCAAAGTTCAGCGAATGAAAACAGGAGCTGCATTCTTGGGTCTTGCACTGCTGTTAAAACTTCGGGTTACTTAGTGCACAGCACCTCTCTATTTCCATTTCAAGGCTTTTAAGATGAGGGTAATAATCATGGTTAGAAAAGTTATTTCAGATCTCTGAATGCAGGTTATTCCCTGAGCCTTTGCTCTTTCTCTTCTTTAAGAACTTCTTCTTCCCAAGATAGTTAAGACCAATTCCATCAGGAGATTTTCTTCTTTTTAGGAAAGAGATCCTTTGATATTTTGAACGGTGTTGCTCTGGATGTTCTACTAAATGCTGGGAGCCAAATCCATACCCTGTTCAGCCTGTTGCTGTGGATCAATAATACCAACTTTAAGAATCAGTGGAGTGCTACCTGGCATTTAGAAAGCCAACTAATCAACCCTTTTCTTGCAGAACTTGTTTCTGAAAAATTTCTTTGGTGGCATTTGGACTTTGCTCATTGACATCTTGTGTTTTTTTTCTTGTTGCATGATTCATGTAGTGGTAACACTGGTGCTTTAGGTTAAAATTTTGTGTAGATGGGAGGTACAATTAGAATGAATCAAGTATTATTTTCCTTTTCAGCCGTGTGGACTTAAGGCCATATTTACAGCAATTTTATTCCAGTGAGACTGGGAGGGAGAAATGGACAGAGGTTAGGAAGAAAAAAATCTGGGAGAGAACAACAGGTCAGTGTCCATAGGTAGAGGAATGAAAAACAAGGGAGAAGGCAGAGGCAGAAGGGCATGAAGGTTTTTCTCACTGCAGGGTTTGTTTTAAAATTAGAATTGTTGTTCTGAGAAAGTTTATTCAACATCAGGAAATTATGATATATTATGGAGCTGTATGTTATTCTCACAGCATATTTTCGTTTTGCATCATTCAACAATGGATATGGTTTATAGTGTCTGCATCTATTCCCAGGTTAAGTACAGCATATGTGTGAAAAATGGTTTCTAAACTTCGGCTTCCTCAGGGTGCTTCCAGTTACAAAAACCAATTAGAGTTTACTTCCCGAGCAAAAGTAAAGTACTAAAAAAAAAAAAATTACAACCTGGATTTTAGCATGAACTTCTTGAGCATTGGTATGGAAATGTACCTGCTAACATTACTGGCATATTTTCTTCTATTCCATATAAACATTCTTGGGATGTTCAAACTAAGTCTGCCAAACTTTGGAGAGCTTTACTTTAGAGTGTACTCAGTTCAAATGATGAGAACGGTCCATTTATTTTGTGACCTATTTATAGCCATTAAACAAGCTGTGGCAAATGGATCTGCTTTGCTTAATTCACTGCAATTGGTGGAAGAATAAAAGCACGCAAAATAAATTCCTGAAAGTAGGAATAAATTCCTGAAAATAGAAGTGTATGATACCCTGCAAATCTCTGTATACTACAAAATTGTAACTTTTAAAATAAAAGCTGTTCATTTTGCAAGACAAAGAGTTGAAAATAAAATATTCCTCTTAATACTATAGGCATTTATTAGATAACTACTTTGGCAGACCAAAGTAGTTATCTAAAAAATGACCAACTGGGGAGATTTGTTATTTCTACTGTGAGCTATAGATGATTCTGCTTGCAAATCTCCAAAAATTATGTAAACATGAAAAAATGTAATTTAAAGTCTGGTTAATTTTAATGATAAGCACAACACGTTTTGAGCATTTTATGATGGTGTTTTGTTTGCCATAACTTATATAACATATGAAAGAGTTTATGTACTTTTACATAACATATTGAAAGAGTTGATGTACTTTTCCATTACAGACTACTTTTATATTCCCTATTGTCCAAAGATTCTAAATAAAATTCTCTTTCTGCTTCTCAGGTTGTTTTTGAAGTGGTTACTTCAGGTCACTCTGGATATGTGGCTATTGATGAAGTGAAAGTTCTAGGACATCCATGTAGTAAGTACCTATCTTGTGTTGTAAAGCCAGATCCCCTAAAATAAATGTGCTACTATGCTTTGATAAATGTGGAACAAAAGACAAGGAAAATGTCAGAAAACAATGTCACTGCCAAAAGTACAGGCTGAGTATATATATGAAGTGTTGCTAAACTTGGCATCATTGTACCTTATTGTCTTTAAAGACATCTCTGCTATGTGCACCTTGTGTACAGCACTTAGCATGCATCCCAAACCCAAAGTGGGTGATATGGCAACTCCTTTAGAAAAAAATCACCAAATCATCATGATTCTGTGATTCTAAGATTTGTTGATGAGGTTTCTGTCTGTATCAAAAATTCAGTGCAGTCACAAGCTAAGACATTAGTGAGAGCAGACAATCAGCACAACAGCTGACTATATAAAATTATTTTTTCCAAGGCTTAGAGGGAAGAAAACTCAGCTGACTGAGTGGAGCTTTGCTAAGCAGGGTTACTCAGGGTACTTCCCAAGGTTCATGGCTCAGTTTCTGCACCGTTTTACTTCTTTATGTTTCAGATATATTTCTTTATCTCATTGTTAAGGATATGTAATACTTAATTATCCTGAATTGTCAAGTCAGACCTTATAAATAAAGCTTTTATGTGGTAATCCAGACAAAAGTAAATAGACTACTTATATAAAACATTACTTCACATGCATGCTGTTTGTTAAATAAGATATATTAAGATCATACATAGAATAGTAGGTTGTGATCTTACAGACCAAATGACTGAGTAGTGGGGAAGAAGACACCAACTTCTGTGTGATCATTCCTCTTATACCATATTGTACTTGCATGCATTTGTTGTGGCTTTTAAGAAAGAGCTGTGATTCCAAATAAAAAGTGCTCTATCAGTTAGTATCAAAGCGCCTCATAAAAATGGTTTTAGTGTTAATGGCAGGAAGACACACACATTTCTTCAAATAGAGAGGCAGTTATGCAGAATCAGCAGCTGTTATTTCTGAGTCACTTATTTCTAATAAACACTGCAGGCTCTCATGTTGTTAGAAAGTATAGGTGCTTCTGCATTTTGAATTTATATCCTTGGTTCAGGCAGGATAAGTCTGAAGCAGCATTTTGGCAGCTTACTAATTTTTTATACAGATCTTGAGAGGTTTGATGTTTGCGTTTGTACCAATCAATTCCCAAAACCTGCAAATAATTCTTGTTAGTGTGGAGACTGAGTTATAGCCCATAGCATGTAGAGTTCTAACATAACAGTATTGAAATGCAAAAGCTTTAATGAAAAGTTCTTTGATGAAGTAATTAAAATGTTAGAAATTAAGACATCAAACCAGTTAAATCGTCTAAGAAAATTGAGAAAGTGTGAAAATTGAAGTAAAAATACTCTGTGTCTAAAACTTTGTAAAGCTCATGATGATAGTCTTTCTGTATATCCCCAGAAAAATAGTTCTGGAATTGTTAACTCTTTAAACAAAATTGAAATGGGAGAAATATTTGATAGGCAGTTGCCTGCTTAGTACAAAGACCAAGCAGAAAACAGATTGTAGGCACATAGAAATTAAAGGAATGGGTTGTGATAGGTGGGCTGGTTTTTGTGTGTATGTGTTTGTTTTTAAAGCCCAATGCTCTTCTCCACTTAGGCCATAGTTGCTAAATCAGAAAAGCTAGGTTTTTAGAATTTTAAGAAGACCAAGGAAACACTAAAATGGAGGGGAGGGGGGTAAAAGCAGGTTTAAAAAAAAAAAAAAAATAAAAAAAAGACAGGTGAGAAATGGGGAACATACTGAAGAATTTTACTGGATATTCTGACATTAATAGTTTCATAGGCAAAGAAGTGGAAAATTTTGGCCTCAACTCTGTCTGCCCTAATTAGGAAATATTTGAAGAAAAAAAAAGGCTGTATGTGTAATAAATTTGCTGTAAGGATATTTGCAAAAATATTTTATCGCATATTTAGATATTAATTTGAGCTATTTTATTCCATCTCCTTTTTCTTATACTGTCTTGCACTGGATATTTAGCAACTTTTTCATGAAGCTAGCTATTTATAAATTTCTTAAAAATGCAATTTCTCCCAGTAATAGGGGTTTTTAAGAAAATATCATCCACACTTTAAATTATTGCAATGCTCTGCTAGAAGATATATGCTTAGTTTGCTAGTCTACTGCTAGTACTAAGATTTTCATGTTGAAAAACAATGTTCAGAGCCTGGTTTATTTATTAGTATAGACAGTGCAAGAAATCAGCTTGGTTGCAGTAGGGTTTGAGTGGGTTGGGGAATATTGTGCTTTAAATTATAGGTTTCTTTATAAAATATCTATATTTTTCTATATTACATGTTTGACTCTTTTTAGTAAAACAAAAATACACACACTTTTTTACTTCAGCAGAAATAATTCTTGTTTGAATATCAGTTTCAGCTTGCCTGTAGGTATATTGCTTTAGTTTTTATTGAGATTGTTTTATCTTTCTAAATGAAAAATAAGCATTGGTATGGAGCATATGTGTTGTGTTTTGGGTTTTTTCTGCAGTGCTGTTGAAAAGTAGTGTATTTAAAGAACCTAGCTGTAGTTGATGAGGAGTATGATGTTAGTATTGTACCTGTTTGGTGGGCTGCATTTCTAAAGGATCTCTTCTATAGACAGTGTACTTGGTTAAGAAGAAAAACCTGTTCCCCTGATAACATCATTTCTTACTGGTTTGTCTGGTTGGTAGTGCAAGCATCTAATAGGTGTGTCTTCAAAACATTTTTCTTTTTCAATATGATCTTTTTTTAATAGATTGTTATTTCAAGAGGGATGCTGAGCTAAGATAGTTTACAAAGCAGGAACAATTACACAGCACCTTTCTATTCTGATCTTTCCAAGGCATGGAAATAAACCAACCTAAAATCTAATGTGTAGTAAGTGACTTGAACCTTTCAAAGCAGAACTATTTCATTTCCTTGGTGCATTTTCTTTATAGCCAGTACTTTGGTCTTGCATAACTTTAATGCTTCTATCTTTTCCAACAGCAAAAACTCCCCATTTCTTGCGTCTTCAGAGTGTGGAAGTCAATGCAGGACAGTTTGCTACTTTTCAATGCACTGCTAATGGTGGAACAGACTCAGGTGACAGACTCTGGTTACAGGTAATTTCTTTTTTTCCTAATGCATTGGTATCTGGAGGGAGGAGAGAGTCTGAAAGAAATGTAAACCGTGAAATATTATGGGCTCTCAATCTCATCAATATTAGATTTTATAATGCCTTTGAACTGTTCCATGGTAGGTATTCTTTTGTAGACAGTGCTGCTGGGAGATTTTCTTGCCTTGTTTCAGTGGCATGCCTTACTAAAAATAAAGGTACTGTTTTCCTTACATGTGGCAATCATGAGTAAAGGCTAAATCCCCAAGGAAGAACAGATGACTTTCTTATAATGTCTGTGCTGGCTAACTACAGTATTATGCATAATGATTTTCTTGGCTTACCTCTATCTCTGTTTAGTATTTCCAGCTAAAATTCCATTCTTACAGTTTAGGTGTAGAGAAGACTGTGTATAACAATCAAATCTGACCTTCTGTGTCTCAAAGCCAAGGAATCTTATTTACATTAATTGAGTCCATTTTTTTTTTACTGAATCGGTAATGTAGCGTCTAGATGGGTGTCAGATCTTGGTTTAAAGTCTGTCTCCAAATCATTTTCTTTCAGTAAAGATACTGTTCCCTTATTCAGATGTGTAGCCTTGTATCAAAAACATGCTATTTTGCTTGATCTTTTTTAATAGTGGAGGTGCAAGTTTAATGGCTGTATTGCTGCCATTATTACACTGTTATTCCTTACAGCAAGCAATAGTGAGTGTTTGGACTTAGCATTAGGGATACAGCAGCCTCCAGATTCCAGTTATTTCCATACATAAAAACCAACATGCCAGAACTGAGACTTTGTGAGAAGGAAGTAAGGACAATCAAAATAAGTAAAACAATGTCTGAGAAGTTCAATCAGGTGAAGCTACAGTAAGTGGAGAAAGAGGGATAGGTGAAATTGGCAGTGGCAACAGGTGCGACTTAGAAATTAAATTCCTCTATATATGTTTTTAAGCAATTCCAGACTTTTACTATAGTTAACCTTTTCCATTTGCATTTTATAAATGCATTTGCATTTTATAAATTATTTAAGTGTGTAGGTTAAACAACTGAGTAGTTACAAAATTTCTAGCAAAAAAGAAAAATTAAAATAACTTGAAAAGCAAAGCTTCATATTTATCTGTATATGAATGATGGATTTTTATGTCTGTTCAGAAAAAGCCTGATCAAGTACATTGAAGGCAATGAAGATCTCCTTTGGTTTTATTTGGGTTTACATGGGTATTTCCAGCCTCTTGCTGATACAAGGCTGGTATTTTTCTAGTGTTCCAGCACCTTAAAGACAATATTCACTGTTGAATTGGTAGAATTAGACTCCTGTCTTTCTGAAGCCACCAAGATTTTTATGAAAGAATTCTTTTTCTAGTCATGAAAGGGTTTAGCATGTATGGGAAAATAATGGGTTGCTATTTCATCAGCTATATCCTTTCTAGGACCTTTGAACTTCGATGTAATGCTCTACTGTAAATCTGAAGGTAGAATTCAATATAATGAAATCCTCATTCCATTCAGTTTTTCCAAATGTTTCAGGACAGTACCATTTCACCTTTAATTTTTTTTCCACAGAATTTAGGACACATAAATTTTTTAGCATAATGTAATTTCTTTGTAGAAATTACATACCCTTCTAGACTTCATGTAATACAAAACTATTTTATTAACAGCATATCAATTCCAAAATATCTGAGCTTAATTGAGTTGATTCCTTGTTTATACATGAGATTTTTTTTTTTCTATATGAAGGATAAGAACGGAGTGACAGACTAATAGAAGAATTCTATCTTCCTACAGGGCCACTGTTTATTTATTCTGCCTGTACAACTATAGGTCCCTCTGTTAATCAGCCTAAGGTTGTGCAAATTCCAGGTGTGCCTTTGCATAAGAATGTTTTAGAAGTTGACAGGATCTCCTGGAAAGCTTGGATTTATTTTTGCACTTGTTTGCCGGTTTCCACAGATGTCTGCTGCAATGTACAGTAAGGCTGATCAAACAGTTGCATGTGTGGGGTGCTGCAAAGCCAGGCTATGAGAGAACAGTTCCCTACAGGATCAGCTGTATTTTAGCACACTAGGTCATTACTGGGTAACAGATCCCCAGCCCTTGCAGCTGTCCATTCATCACCTGACTCTGGTTTTGTGGTGTGATGTTGAGGAATTTTGTATATGCCTGTATATGACATCTCATGATGCAGGACTATGAGACCAGTGCAGCTATCAGTAACAGCTCTCAGAAAACATGGAAACGTGGCATCTTCTACATCATATGACTGGTTCAATGGACATTGAAAATCCTTGCATTCCCAGTAGCACTAAACCAAATATTCAACTACAAAACATCTTAATAAAAGGCATTCTTATATATGCTAGAGCCAGAATAAAATGAACACCATTCCCTGGGAACATTTATGGTAGTACTCAGGTTAGAGGGATTCAGACTTTAGTGGCACTGCAAACGAATCATGCAGTCTCCATTATATGCTTAGTTTGTGCCTTTTCTACTATCCTTCTGGCGGTCTGTTTCATTACACCTATAAAACCTTAAGGGTACATAATAGTAAATAAATAAATAAATACAGTTGAGTGTTATTATCGGGGCTTTTCAGCATTTCTGCCATGTAAGTCGTATCAGGAGACCTAATCTGTTTGGATTTGACAATTTCAGAATACTGTGAGATAATTTGCTCCCAAATGATTTCCAGTACCTGTCATTTTTTTCAGATTCACACTGTTAGTCTAAACTGCAGGTAAATTGCCAGGATGAAATCACAAACCCACTGAATTCAGTGACATTTCTGCAGTTTCCAGTAGTGGCAGGATTTCACTACTGTACTTCTGCCTCTTTTATTTAGTACATCTCTGCTTCTATGCAGCAGAGTTCAAGTTTAGAGGTACACATTTATCTGACTAACAAATTCTTTACTTTTTACAGTCTGCTGGACTGTGAGGGCTATATGTTCTTTATAAAAAAATGAATAGTTGAGAGTTGGTTTGTTATTTTAGTCTCCGTGTCTTTCCTAAGTACTTGTTGGAAACAGCTTCTAAGTTCTAAGTCCAATAATGCCCAGGTCTTGAAGCAATCCTAAGTGAAATCCATAAATCATACTTTATTTCCATCACTTTTCTTTTTTTCCCCTCTTTTCAATTCTTTCCTAGTCTTATTCCCTATGGAACATGAAGTCTGTTAATTTATAGAGTATTGTAGAACTTTTTGCAATTGAAAGGGCCTTGAGGGAATCACAATTCATATGTTAGCTGCCCAAATTAGACTACTGAGGCATGAAATTTGTTTCATGATGCTGTGATCAGTATTTACTCTTTTGGGAAAGGGAAGACAGAAAGGGAAGAAAGCTGTTTACCTACTGCATAGTGCAGAACAACATTTTTCTTCATTCCACTAGGCAGCCATACTCCCTAGTTCATGAGGTATGATCACAAGCTTGTCAGATAATCTGATAGCAAATTGTGGGTATTTTCAATGATACCATTTCAGGTTAAATTCAAATGAAAGGACTCGAGAAAACCACATGCTATCACACAAGTTTGTTTTTGTCATTGTAGTGAGTGTCTTGTCATTGGTCATAAGGTCACTGGTTAGATTGTATGTTTATGAATTCACATCTCCACAAGCTTATTTTCTTAATGTAAACCTACCTTAAAAATAAATAGGAATTTCTACAATTAAAAAATCTGTCTAATCTGCTTACATTTTCTTTTCCACATCTGTGAACAACACAGGTTCTTGCCAGTATGGGATGACTCTTTCTCTCCTACTGAATGGTTGAGCAAAAATGTCATTCCTGTGCTCCCACTGTTGGAAAGAAATGAACAGGTGCAACACTGAACCATTAATAGTCAAATGAAAGCAGCTGAGACGCTCTTCTGAAAATCCTATTAGTGTCCAATAAATTGGCATAGGAAACACAAATCTGAATTATAGGAGAGAGGGCGTAGAATTCCTTTTTGAAAGTAATCTGCTTTTGGTGCAGTGTATTGGCTTGCAAGGAATTGGCTTGGTTTTCCTTAGCTTCTTAGGCCTGTCTCCATTTCTTCATTTTCCCATCCTCATCTGCTTCTCCTCATTATTTGCAGAGGGTTCATTCAATTGCTTCTATTTGCTGCTTATTCTTTGAGTGAGCTACAATATTATTTACAGGAAATTGCTGTCAAATCATACCCAGATATAATGAAATTCCATTTTAATATCAAATACAATCTTTTGGTACTGCAATTGCATTTTTCAGACATGTGCTCTGACTCAGTGTTAGTAGCCTTTCTTGAGAGAGGTTTCTCAAAGAGTGGAAAGCTATAGGTGATGAAAAAGGCAGGTCATCACTTCATTGCACTAATTTATTTTTCCTGGCTTTATTCTGAAACACGGTTGAAATGTAAATAGTTACTTTAAAATATAATTCTCAGACACATAAATTGTATTGCAGAAATAGAGAACTAAAAGTAGAAATTTGTTGAAGATGAGCAGATAACAATAGGATCTCAGGATATGTCTTGACGGCTGTAGTAATCAGCATCATCAGATTTACCAGTAGAAAGAGACTAATGGATGTTTTTTTGATAAAAGGGGAGAGGGTGAAATCTTTCCTACCTTGGTTTATGCATGCAGAATGTATACTACTTCATTGGCAGACAAGAAACTAAGAACAGTATCACTTTAATGGCCAATCTCTCTTCTACCTTAGGTAAATAGTTTATTTCCTGGATTTTGCTTTTCTTTTTGTCTTTCTTGAAAGCTATCTTTCACCTTATTCAGTGTGTTTTTTTATCTTCAGTAATCTTTGGCTGAAGGTATGAAGACTATGAAAAATTTTATTCATCTATATACAAAACTACCTGTATGCATTATTTATTACTTTTTCAAAGGAAGATATATAGTCCTATGTCAGAGGGAGTTCTGGAAAGCAAATTGTTTTCCCCAGGAATACAAACATACCCAAATGACAGATATCAAAAACATCCTTGTAAGAATGTAGAACAAGTGAAATTACTCTTTGCAG